GTTATATAGCGGTGTGGGGAGCGGTGGTGCAGCGGTTAGCGCACTGCTCTACGAATCCGTGTTCGATTGCTGCTCACGGTTAATAGGAGTGGTGACGATTTGAGCCAGTCCTGGACCCTCCCACTAGGGAGACTCAGCCTTAAATGTGTACCTGGTGCGTAAACATCAGCACCGGTGAGACAAAAGCAGCCGCGCTGTCGGAGCTCGCTAACAACACTTGCACAACCAGTCTGTTGAAGGTTATACGGGGGATCCTTTGTATTTGTTCCACAGCTGTGTGCTGTGTTCACATGTTAATTAATCCACATTCACCCCTTCCAAATAATAAAACGCGACTATAAGAGACTATTGTTGTACTTACGAAGGAAGAAGTAGCTACAAATTATCCGAGCAGATCGATGCTTGAGCGTCTCTCCTTTAAGTGTCAAAGAACACGCCTACGCGCAGCATGCGAATAAAAGAATTCACCACCAACAGGTGCTGAAGAACTGCATAGCGTTCCGTCTTGTCTTGACTTAGGAGGTCACCGAAAAATGAAAGTGAAGCACGTGTCACCGACTGGAAGCAGCAGGGATGAAGACGCAGACACCCGTGGCCCGGTTCCGTTCCTCTTGGGAGTCATCGGCACGGTACGGTCACAGATGCTCGCTGCTGTACAGACGGCCACTTGGAACTGCGCGGACGGAGTCCCCTCTGACACGCTAATGGGACCCATGGTTTTTTGTTTCGGTTACCCAACCAGTTCCGCAGACGGTGACTCTACTGATGACGCAACCAGTCGCTCAGGCGCAGAAGGGAGGAGGCGACGGTAACTTACAACTACAACACAACTTTAGAGTCTTTATTTTTTTTTGCGTGCGTAAAGTAACCATTTAGGAAGCTTGAAAACTCATCCAGCAGTGGATCTGGCAAACCGCGCCGAACATGTTTCACAACAAACAAACAAAAAACTTCGAGGACTTGCTGGGACGGACAGCCCTCTTTAGTTATGGGATTGCCTCTTGTTTTTAATTTGTTAATTTAAAGTGCGAATATCGCGCTCTAGGTTGGTTCTGCGATGCTGGGACATCTTGAACAACACGGGAGGATAAATCGTGTACTCCCCGTGCAGCGAGTACATCTATCGCTATCAAAGGAACCAAAATTCCCTTCAATAATGGATTACATATTCGGTATTGTTTTTTTTTTAAACGCGTAAGCTGTCGCTGATTATGCATGATGTATCTGCCGGCGAAACGTCGGACTACCGGATTGTTAAGCATTGGCCAAGTTTGTTCACCACGTGAAAGCTTTATGAATTGGCTGTGTCAGGTGGTGGAGGGTTTACGACACAACAACAATTTAACTTGCCCGATGCGACCCCAAAAATGCGCAATTTTAATTGAACAATTATTAATCGATTCCTTTGCAACTTTGCGACGAAAGTAGCGGTGTCTGGCGGCTGCGGGGATCACGCAACAACAAGAACAAGAACCGGTCATGGTCGGAATCCGCCTCATGCGCCACGATCGGCCCACTGCTGGATGAAGATTTTCGCGAGTCGCAGATGAATTTTAAGTTATTGATAATTACGCACGCGCGCACGACGAGCTTAATACGTCGATATTATTTCGATGATTTCGACGCTTTTTGTTGCACCACCCCTTGCGGTTCATCGTCAGCAGGGCGCGGCTGAATGTCACCTCCAGTGTTAAGCACTGCACAGGTCACTGAGCGATGAGCGTAGTGGATTGCATGTGTGTCTGTGTGTCTGTGTCCGCGCGAGTGTTGGTGCGATGTGCAAACATCGCCACAGGAGAGACAAAGGCGGCCGGGCGTGGTGTTGGCCACCTCAACCCCTCGTGTGCCGTGCCGGTCTTCATAGGTGCTCGCTAACAGCACTTGCCCCCAACAGTCTCTTAAAGGCTATACGGGGGATCTTTGTATTGATGTATATATGTAAACTGTATAACGTTGTAAGGGAGCGGTGGTGCCGTGTTTAGCGCACCGCGCTACGAACGCGGAAAATCCGAGTCACACCTCTAGGGTCGACTCAGCCATAAATTAGTTACCGGTTGCTCCGCATGATTAACATGAGCAGTAGGGGGAAGACAAAGGCGGCGTGGTTCCGCCCACACCCCCACCCCACCCCCTCGTATGTGTATGTCTCTCGTGCCTGCATACATAGGTGCTTTCCGCGAGCAGCATTTGCCCCAACAGCCTGTTAAGAGGCCACACGGGGGGGGTCAGGGCCGTCGATCGGGGTGTGGTGCGTAGCCTCGGGCAAGTCGCACACCGTGTGCCCCTCCCACCCCCCAAGCGCAGGACCTGGGGCGATCGCCCAGATCCGCCGGCGTACCCTTCGGAGCGGCTCCGCGGGGTACCTTTGTTTCTCCGTGTGAATTTGCGTGAGAATCCTTGCGCACGGTATGCGGGTCAGGAAGGAACAACGAGGAGACGAAGCTTTCACGACAAACGCGCGCGCGGGGAAAGGGGGCTGATTAAGGAGGTCGCAAGCATCAGTGTACAGATACGGCATAGCATCCTATTGACATAGCCTCACTACAATTGGACGCCTATGGTTAGTTATTCATAGCTACTGACATTATGGAAATACTTATGTTCCATAACGCGCTTGCGTTCAGCTTGTATGTGTGTGTGTGTGTCTTTGCGTGTGTTTCAGGCCGTGGTGCTGGCCACCCATCCCCTCGTGTGCCGTTCCGGCCTTCATAGGTGTTCCCTAACAGTTATTTGCCCCAAAAGTAAATTGAGGCTGTACGGGGGATCTTTGTCTTTGTGTTTTTCTGTGTGTGTGTGTGTGGTATCGTAGTGATTAGCCGCATGGCTCTACGAACCTGGAAACGTCGGCTTCAGTTCCCAGCACACGACCAACAACAGTAGCGAATGTTTGAACCGATCCCGGGGCCTCCGGAAGGTCGACTTTAAACGAGCACCTGGCGTGGTGTATAAACGTCAGCACTGGGGGGGGGGGGGTCGAGGAGACAAAGGAGACCGGGCGTGGTGCTGGCCACCCACACCCCCACTCATGTGCCGTATCAAACCTTCAATGCTGCAATGCGCTAACAGCACTTGCCCCCAAAGCATATATGAGGCTATACAGTTGGGGTGTCTTTATCTGTGTGTGTGTATGCCATGCATATGTGCTTTTTAAAATGTATTTAATCCATGTGCATACGAGTGCCAGCGCGCGCGTGTGTGTGTATGTATATATTCCCAATGTGTATTTCAGTCTCTTGCGCGCACACACACACACACGTGTGCGCGCGCGCAAACACGTCTGTCGCCACGTCTTCGCCGTGCGCGCCTTCAAGACAACTTGGTCCGAAATAGTCGTCTTCGAGCAGAGTTCCCGCTCAGAAAGAGAGCAGCGATGAATCATCAACAGTCTTCTCGTCGGCGGAGGAACAACAAAAAAACAAAAAAACATTCGCTACGATAATCGCAATTAATTACATCCAAAAACGACAGTAATTGCTTTTTTTTTCTTCGCTCGCAATCACCCACCCCCTCCTGTTTATGATTTAAGAAAAAATGCAATGTAATCATAGCAAAAATAATTAAATACATATATCTCGCCGTTCGCGCGTGCGGGGAGAGGATTGGAGGCAACTGATGGGCATGGAGTTGATTTGAAAATAGTGTGGCATGCGTGCGTGTGAGTGTGCGTGTGAGAGTGTGTCCGTGTGCATGTGTGGGTAAGTGTGCGTGTGCATGTGTGAGTGTGTGTGTGCGCGTACGTGCCGTGCTGGCCACCCACCCCGTCCTGTGCCACGGTGCCGGCCTTCATAGGTGCTCGGCGACAACACTTGCCCCAACAGTCCGTTGGGGGATCTTAGTCTTGTGTCCCTTCGTTCAAATTGTCCAAATGTGAAAACAAATTACTCGCAAATTACTCAATGTGTAAACACGAAGCAAACCCCCCTGTTTGTGAAGCTATAGCTGACTATACCCACGCCATAGCATTGCCCTATAAGAAGGGCGCAAGCATCCAAATATAATGAGTTGTTTCAAACTCAACGATGCAAGTGATTGCGTCTAACTATACATTATCACAGTGTCACTTTCCGTCGAAGCCCGATATCGTAAAGTGACAGCGCGTGCTTGCCTAGAAACGTCTGCCAGTTCACCAGCATCGATTGAAGCAAGCGAGTCTGATTACTGCTGCTGACGAGACACCGCGTGTTGAAACCGGTCCAGAGTGTTTTTGTTTTTGTTTTCTCGTCTTGAAAGGCCGCGTGGCCGGCTGATGGGATGGGTAAGAAACGCTTTGATATTTGGCACTGCGTCGAGAGGCGGGATCGGCGAGATGGAGATATTAGTGTCCGCTTATGTAATGTGTTATTTACATACCCCACTACGACGCGAATTATTAATTTGAGTCGAGGTCGGAATTTACCTGCCCTCTGTGTGTGTGTGTGAGAACGTGTGCAATCTGTGTGCGTGCACGTCGTGTGAATGTAGCGGTGAACGCGCTGCGCTACGAACCTAGCTACGCCGAGTTCGATTCCAGCTAACGACTGTATATGTGGTGTTTTAATAAACACGTATGAGAATAGGTGCATCATTGTACACGCGTGTCTGTGTATGGGAGTACGCACACACACGCGCACATAGATCTGCGTACATTCATGAGCGCTCGCTCACACGGCTTGCCACTTCACGTGGCTCGCAAGCGCACTTAGCCTGGCACGGGCGAACGGGCGGCTGTTGTTGTTGTTGTTGCTTCTGCTGTTGTCGTTGTCATTATTGTTGTGCATACTTACGCACGTGTGTGTACGTGTGTATGTGTAGACGTGTGTGTGTGTGTACGTGGGTGTGTGTGTGCGCGTGTTTAAACCATTCACAAATCTGCGAACACAATGCGACTCGACTCAGTCCCACAGCCAGCGCCAATCCCCATCGCAATGCCGCTGGATCCACCCTTGCCCCCCCCCCCACCGTCCTCCAATAGAGCCCCCCCCCCACGGCTCTTCTTGCCCCCCCCCCCCCCCCGTCTCCGCCACCCCTCCCCCCCCCCCTCTGCCTTCGGATCTCCCAGGGCTCGGGGGGGTGGTGGGTCGGGGGGGGGGGGTAGAGAAGAGGAGGCGGTAGGAGGCTGGCGGTAGGGACTAGCAGATGATGGTGAAGTATGGTTAAAGACGAGAAGGACGAGGAGGCGACGAGTGGAGTAATGGGGGGGGGGGGGGCAGTGGTGAGGGTGGAAGGGGCGGTCGAGTGGTGAGTGACCTCCCCAGGGGCGGGGTCGAGTAGTTGAGCGACCTCCTGTCGATTAGAAGGGGAACACCATGAATCCAGAGAAGGTGGAGTATTTCCACCCGCCCATGAGGTTCCCACGCTCCAGCTTGAGGTTCACGCGATCCCCCTTCTCCATGAGCAGCAGCACCCCGTTGCTGGCCGCTTCTCGCGTCACGTCCTGGTCGCCCGCGAAGGCGGAGATCACGGCCCAGCTGTTGAGCATCAGGCTCACCTGTGGACGAAGGGCGCCACGGTGGTGAGATGTTAACTACCTCGCCTGGTACACAGGAGGTCGTGGGTTCGATGTCGACCGTGACGCCTGCTGCTGCTGTATATTTGGAGTTTGCGTGTCTCTCTCTCTCTCATCATCATCGCGGTGGCTAGGAGATGTTAACTACCTCGCCTGGTATACAGGAGGTTCGTGGGTTCGATCCCGACCCTGACGCCTACTGCTGTATATTTGGAGTTTGCGGACTCTTTCCCTCTCCCCGTGGTCGCGTCCATTTGTTTTTTTTTCCCTCCGGGTTTTCCCTGTACATTTAGAAACTTGCGTTGAGAGTATTTGGCTGCTATACATTTCCACGTGATAAGCCACTTAGTTGCGCTATCATTTGTGGCCAGGTCGCTTCTGAAAAATAGCTAAATAGCTCAGTGGGCCTTACCTGATAAAAAAAATAAAAAAATATTGAGTTTATAAAGCCACCAAGAGTTTCACGTTTTCGATTAATTACGTCACTGAAAGACCTACACCTGATTACTCATTGTTTTTTTCGGTAAAGCCACGTAGAAATAAGTAATAATAATAAAATTACATAATAGAATACGACGTTTCGATTGCAACGCAAGCAATCATCATCAGGCATAGAAGAGCTAAATTTAAGAGAGAGAGGAAACACAGAACCGCAGATATATATACAGAGCACGGAGAGTCGGTCAAAACACAATTAACGCATGGTGCTCTATCACTCTTAACCTATAATTTAGCAATCTTTTAAATAGCGTAATCAGCCAGACCATGCGTTAATTGTGTTTTGACCGACCCTCTGTGCTGCATTATATTGTTTCCAAATTTTACTAAATCTTGTTCGATTTGATGTGCTTCTCCATCTCTCTTTGTCCCCCCTACATGCTAAGGCCTTAGCACGGAGACCCTATCTCTCTGTGCTCCGTGCAGTTGTGTCTCTGTGTTAACTCCCTCTGCTTAGGTGTCTGTATATATATATCTGCGGTTCTGTTTCCTGTCTCTCTTAAATTTAGCTCTTCTATGCCTGATGATGATTTGCTTGCGTTGCAATCGAAACGTCGTATTCTATTATGTAATTGTATTATTACTTCTTATTTCTACGTGACTTTACCGAAAAAAAACCAAAGAGTAATTCCTGCAGTCACGAAAGCACCGAATCAAGTTTTATACACCTGATTCTCAAGACTCGAAGTTTTTTTTGTATTGGTACTGATTGTATCGACCTCGGAAGGATGATAGGCTGAGTCAACCGCCCCCATGGGTATTTGAACTGCCGACTGCGAGTGTCTCGCTCGACCGCTGAGCCACCTGGCCGGTGATTGGGAGGTCAGAGGTGAAAATCAATGCGTATCCAAAACCCCAACATTGATGCACATTTGTATTGAGAAGAGACTCAGTGGCAGAGGGAGCGGGCCCGCAACGTCGGCAAAGGTTGCGACTTCAAATCCTCGTTGGGGATGTTGCTTCAGCTCATCATCTTTTCAGGGGGGTAGAGGGGGGATTGCTGGTAAAATTGGTACCACTTCGTGGAGAAGTCCAAAACAGCGATTGTTCTGCGGATTCACTCGTCTCCCGCCATAGGAGTGTGGAATGCCACCTACTGGCTCAGGCAATGATCGCCACCTCAATGCTAATTTGAACAGGAAAATAATTCTGTGACTAAGTGGTGAGGAGGAGGGGGGTTAACCTCCCCCTCCCCCCCATCCCCCCTCCTGAACTCCCACACAATCAGATACCAGGCTCAGTACCTGCTGAGCCTCCGCGATTCGACGAGACGGGGGGAGGGTGATGCGATGTGACCCCAACGTGCATGGCTATGGGGAAGACGTACATCGTAATGTCGACTCCGGATCAGCGCTTAAGCCTCTGAGCGTCGCTCCGGGGTGCAATTTGTCCTATCGATTGCCCGTAAATATAATTCAGAATCGCTTGTCAGTGAGTCAGCAACCTCCTCCTCCTCCTCGTCGTCGTAAATGACACGTGCATGTGTGTGTGTGTGTAGATTACATGGCACTTACGTAAGGATTATGCAATGATAACATTGTAATGTACGGCGCTCTAGTTTCGCTTGTCACAGGCTCACACGAAGACCGATAGAGCCTGACAGAGACCCACAGAGACCAATATATAATAACCACATAGAGACCCATCTACCTATATTGTTGGACCCAAATGCTTTCAAAGATCCGGAGTCACAAGCACATGGATACCCACAGTCGCATAGTGGCCGATACACTTCTATAGGGATCTAAATAGTACTCACACAGAGGTCCATGGTCACATGAAGACAAGTGAACTCACATAGAGACCCGTGACATCACAATGAGGCCCATAGACTCATAGACACCCCTGGTCGTATGGAGAGAGTTGCAGTACAGTATACAGTACTCAAATTTAGACCTATAGACTCGCACACAAATCCATAGACTCACATTGAGATCCATAGTCACACAGAAACCCATTAACTCAGAGACCAATATAGTTACATACAGACCCATAACCTCACGCTGTAACCCATAGTTAGATGGAAACAAAACAGACTCAAATAAATACCCATAGGCACACATAAGAGACCCATAGACTCACACAGAGAGCCAGAATCAAATAATAGACCAATATACTCACATAGAGACCCATAGACCCACATAGAGAACCGCAGTTTCTCAATTCAATGGGGGTGCCCACCAATAAAACAACTCTGCTTTGTCCCCCCACCCCCAATGACCCAGCCCCCCCTCACCTGAATGGTCTGTCTGTTGTACACTTTGACCACGTGGAAACTGAAACTGTAGACGCCCTTGCGAGGAGCGATGAAGGTGCTCGATTCCACGTCGAAGTTGTTCCCCACATTCACCAGCGTCTGTGCATAACGAAGGGCACCAAGCGCAGACCAACATCGTCATCGTTATCAACATTGCCATCGTCATCATCATCATCGTCGTCGTCACGAACATCATCATTGTCATGGTCGAGGTCACAGTCATCAACGTCGGCATCATCATCAATCATCGTCACCACCATCGTGGTCGTCGTCGTCGTCATTAACGTTTACATCATCAATACCGTCACCTTCATCATCGGGTACTAATTTTGAGGTCGAGTCGACCTAGGGGAAGGAGGCGCTGTGTAGGTATGCTGAACTTCTTTCGCACCGTACGTCGCCACGCATGCTAATCGGTTGGCTACGTCCGGTGCACTGAGTAATTTAGCCATTGCCGGGAGTTCAACACAAATCGCATGGTTAAAAATAATGACCCCACCGCCCCCATAGCCTTAACAGACAGTGATGGCAAGTGCTGTTAGCGAGCACCTATGAAGGCCGGCACGGCACACGAGGGAGTGGGTGGCCAGCACCACGCTCGGCCGCCTTTGTCTCCCCAGTGACGATGTTTACACATAGCACTAGGTACTCATTCGAGGCTGAGTTGACCTACGGGAGGCCCAAGAACAATTCAGATATTCGTCACTGCTGTCTGTGGCCGTGAGCGGGAGTCGAACTCGGGTGGCCGGGGTTCATAGCGCAGCGCGCTAACCGCTACACGACCGCACACACGCCAGCGTGCTTACCTCCAAAAACCACATCTATAAATATCCTGTCCATCACGCCAATGTCAAATATAAACCACAGCGTTGGGAGGTTTACGCGTAATTGACACAGCTGGCACGTCCACGGCATTACTCGCAAAAAAACCGACTCGGAACATTCCACGTGGCTTACCTTCGCCTGATTCGCACGTTTGTAAAACAAAATGATACGGAAACAAACTTAAGGCTGCATCGTCTATCGAGATAAACCACCGAATGGTCCTTTGCACGGTAAACGTCTCGACACAACCAAACAGCCGGGTCACGTTTGCAAAAAAAAAAAATGGGAAGTGCTTCGTGCGTTTTTTTGACATTTTTCTAGTTGCCACTTTCTGTTCACGCCCTTGCCGAGATGACACGCTCAAAGGGCAGAAACGTGAAACGGCCAGCGACAAACGGCACGGTCAAAGTTGCAATCGATGAGAGTCATGGGCAGTGTTCCTTCGATTGAGCGAGGCGATATGAACTTAGGAGCGGAGATGGCAATGGTGCTGATGATGGTAGAGGGGGTTCCAAAGTGGAGCAGTGTGAGCGAAGAAGCAGGGAGAGCAGAGGTGACCTACAGCGTGTGGTGAGTGAGTGGGTGAGTGTGTGAGTGAGTTCGTGGGTGTTTGGGTGAGTAGGTGAGTGGTTCAGTGAGTTAGTGGGTGGTTGAGTGAGTAGGTGAGTGGGTGGGTGTGTGAGTGAGTGAGTTAGTGGGTGTTTGGGTGAGTAGGTGAGTGGTTGAGTGAGTTCGTGGGTGTTTGGGTGAGTAGGTGAGTGGTTGAGTGAGTTAGTGGGTGTTTGCGTGAGTAGGTGAGTGGTTGCGTAAGTTCGTGGGTGTTTGAGTGAGTAGGTGAGTGGGTGTGGGTGTGAGTGAGTGAGTTAGTGGGTGTTTGAGTGAGTTGGTAAGTGGTTGAGTGAGTTAGTAGGTGTTTGAGTGAGTAGGTGAGTGGGTGAGTGTATGAGTGAGTTAGTGGGTGTTTTGAGTGAGTGGGTGAGTGTGTGAGTGAGTTAGTGGGTTACATATTGGGTGAGTGGTGCATCTGCCAGTCATCTCAACAAAACCATGGCACCGAAGTCTGTCCCGTGATCACTCGCACGCACAGACACGCATAGACGTGCCCACACACATACACGCATACACACGCATGCACGCGCTTGCACGCACACGCATACATACACGCATACACGCACGCACACACAATCACACACACGCACACACATGGCGACGAGGTTGTTACACCTCCACCAATTAAGGGTGAACAATGATACGAGACTCAGTGCGCGCAACCCACACGACAACACGAGAGAGAGCGAGGAGTAGTAATAATTATATTATATAATTACATTAAACACAAAGGGGGCGGTGTGGCACAATCACACCGACACGCGCAATTATTTCTACCTAACAAGCACTAATTAGTGAAAAAAATGGCCTCGACATAGCATTAACAAAATTAATGGCGTGTGTGGGGTTGGGGGAGATGGGATGGGAGTGTAACGGGGTGTGTGGGAAAGGGGGCGCTGTTATTCCCGTTTATTATGACTCCCTTCTGCGTCCGTAATTAGCTAGGGACACAAACTAACTTTGTTGATGGTGACGTCAGTACCGTGTGTCTGTTTGTAGAGTGGTTTGTGTCTGTGTATGTGTAGAGTGGTTTGTGTCTGTGTGTGTGTAGAGTGGTTTGTGTCTGTGTGTGTGTAGAGTGGTTTGTGTCTGTGTGTGTGTAGAGTGGTTTATGTCTGTGTATGTGTATAGTGGTTTGTGTCTGTGTGTGTATAGTGGTTTGTGTCTGTGTGTGTAGTGGTTTGTGTCTGTTTGTAGAGTGGTTTGTGTCTGTGTGTGTAGAGTGGTTTGTGTCTGTGTGTGTGTAGAGTGGTTTGTGTCTGTGTGTGTGTAGAGTGGTTTGTGTCTGTGTGTGTGTAGAGTGGTTTGTGTCTGTGTGTGTGTAGAGTGGTTTATGTCTGTGTGTATATAGTGGTTTGTGTCTGTGTATAGTGGTTTGTGTCTGTGTGTATAGTGGTTTGTGTCTGTGTGTGTAGAGTGGTTTGTGTCTGTTTGTAGAGTGGTTTGTGTCTGTGTGTGTAGAGTGGTTTGTGTCTGTGTGTGTGTAGAGTGGTTTGTGTCTGTGTGTGTGTATAGTGGTTTGTGTCTGTGTGTGTAGAGTGGTTTGTGTCTGTTTGTAGAGTGGTTTGTGTCTGTGTGTGTAGAGTGGTTTGTGTCTGTGTGTGTGTAGAGTGGTTTGTGTCTGTGTGTGTGTAGAGTGGTTTGTGTCTGTGTGTGTATAGTGGTTTGTGTCTATGTGTGTGTAGAGTGGTTTGTGTCTGTGTGTGTAGAGTGGTTTGTGTCTGTGTGTGTAGAGTGGTTTGTGTCTGTGTGTGTAGAGTGGTTTGTGTCTGTGTGTGTGTAGAGTGGTTTGTGTCTGTGTGTGTGTAGAGTGGTTTGTGTCTGTGTGTGTGTATAGTGGTTTGTGTCTGTGTGTGTAGAGTGGTTTGTGTCTGTTTGTAGAGTGGTTTGTGTCTGTGTGTGTAGAGTGGTTTGTGTCTGTGTGTGTGTAGAGTGGTTTGTGTCTGTGTGTGTGTAGAGTGGTTTGTGTCTGTGTATGTATAGTGGTTTGTGTCTATGTGTGTGTAGAGTGGTTTGTGTCTGTGTGTGTAGAGTGGTTTGTGTCTGTGTGTGTAGAGTGGTTTGTGTCTGTGTGTGTAGAGTGGTTTGTGTCTGTGTGTGTGTAGAGTGGTTTGTGTCTTTGTGTGTGTAGAGTGGTTTGTGTCTGTGTGTGTGTGTAGAGTGGTTTGTGTCTATGTGTGTGTAGAGTGGTTTGTGTCTATGTGTGTGTAGAGTGGTTTGTGTCTGTGTGTGTGTAGAGTGGTTTGTGTCTCTGTGTGTATAGTGGTTTGTGTCTGTGTGTGTAGAGTGGTTTGTGTCTGTGTGTGTATAGTGGTTTGTGTCTGTGTGTATATAGTGGTTTGTGTCTGTGTGTATAGTGGTTTGTGTCTCTGTGTGTATAGTGGTTTGTGTCTCTGTGTGTATAGTGGTTTATGTCTGTGTGTATATAGTGGTTTGTGTCTGTGTGTGTGTATATAGTGGTTTGTGTCTGTGTGTGTGTAGAGTGGTTTGTGTCTGTGTGTGTGTAGAGTGGTTTGTGTCTCTGTGTGTATAGTGGTTTGTGTCTGTGTGTGTGTAGAGTGGTTTGTGTCTCTGTGCGTATAGTGGTTTATGTCTGTGTGTATATAGTGGTTTGTGTCTGTGTGTGTGTAGAGTGGTTTGTGTCTGTGTGTGTGTAGAGTGGTTTGTGTCTGTGTGTGTGTATAGTGGTTTGTGTCTGTGTGTGTGTAGTGGTTTGTGTCTGTGTGTGTAGAGTGGTTTGTGTCTGTGTGTGTGTAGAGTGGTTTGTGTCTCTGTGTGTATAGTGGTTTATGTCTGTGTGTGTGCTTAGTGGATGGGGAGTGGAAGCGTAAGTGCACCGCACTACAAACTTGGCCACCCGAGTTCGATTCCCGCTCACGGTCAGCACCAGTGACGATTATCTGAAACGGTCCTGGACCTTCCCTAGGTCGACTCAGCCTCAAATTAGTACCTGGTGCGGTCTGTAAACGTCGCCACTCGGGAGACAAAGGCGGCTGGACGGGCGTGGTGGTGGCCACGCATCCCTCTCGTGTGCCGTGCCGACCCTATCGAGGTGCTCTCGCTAACAGCACTTTCTCCAGCAGCCTGTTAAGCCTCTACGGGGGACCTTTGCCTTATTTTGAAGGTGAACGATGCCCCTCCACCCACCACTCACACAGTGCTCCACGGAGGCTTACACGCTGCCAGGGAGTGGACAAAATGTTCTCTGTCCAACCGTGACCACGTCATCTCGACTCGAGTCACCTCGACTCTAGTCCCGATCCTCCCACCCCCCCCCCCCTCCCCTAGGCGGACTCAACCTCTAATGAGGAAACCTGGTGCGGTGTAAAAACATTATCGCCACGAGGGAGACACAGGCAGCCGGGCGTGATTTCTGGCCACCCATCCGCTCGTGTGATGCGCCGGCCCCTTAATAGGTGCGAATCGTTATCAGCGCTTGCTCCGAGAGTCTGTTGATGCTATCCGGGAGATCTTCGTCTTGGGAGGCGATAGCGTGGCGGTTAGCGCACTGCACTGTGCACGCGACCCAACTCCCGATCCCCATTCTTGGGTCGCTCTACTGCTGCTGCTGTCGCCATCCTAGAATCTCACCCACATCGGGAAGAACGCTGCTGCTGTTAAAGCAGCGTCTAACAACGTGGAATTCCCGAATGAACCCCTTCGCT